AAATCTCGAATTCTTAGCAGATTATGCGAGTAAAATTCGACACAATGTACAATACATCATAGCATATTTAAGCTCGTCACACATTCATGTACGGCCCATTTTGATAAACATCAGGCTAAATTAAAGGCTCTTCAGCACAATACACCGTATTAAATTTCACCCTTTCTCAAGTAATCATTGTAAGGAAGCCACTTTAATAACAGACGCCAGCATGCCATTAAATCTTGACTACTCGGGCTTTTGATTACAGAGATGGTCTTTCGATAACAGGAACTCCGTTACATTAAATTTCTCTATCTCCGCATTTTAGAACGTGTCAATTTTCTAAATGGATTCTGAATTTTAGAACTTCAAACGAGTTGCCTACATCAGTTCTTTCTAGATATTTCTTCTCTAATTCTGGAAAATTATTCCAATGTCTTATCAAGAATTTCTTTTAATTCTGTTGAGATAAAAATATTAGAGCATTTACTATACGCCAAGCAAACTCCAGAAATAATCATAAATACACGAAGTTTGCACATGTTCAGAAGGAGCATTTATATAATAATATGCAAATATTAAAAAATATGAATTATTAAAGAATTATTAAATATTAAATATTAGTTACGTTTTCATTTAAAAACTGAGAAGTTCCGGTGACCAGCTCCAGTGAGTTCTTGCTTATTTTAAGCTCAAACAACATACATATTTGGAGGCACATAGCCCTCGCGTGCTTTGCCATAACCATATAAAACCAAACCAAAAAACATATATTTTGCATTAACAATGCTCAGTAAATAACTATCTTGCAAATATTACTTGAAAGCAATTACTACCATTTATTACACTTAATGTTCTTTGCGTTATTTTAGGGCCTATGTAAATAAAAATTGATTTTATCGCTTTATTATAATTGAAATACATTTAGCCAAATTAGCAATAAAATCGTTGTTTTGTTTTGTTTAAAAAACTGTTTTGTATTTTGTGTCAAGGAAATAAAAGTATTTAATCTTCTTTAGGTAACAAAATATTTGTTGAAATGCTTAAAATTAACACGTGGAAACATAAAATACCTTTATTTCATTGCAGGCATATATTTGACCAAAAAAAGCTAATAAATTATTGTTTAATATCCGGATTATCATGGTCCTAATTAGTCCGGATATCTGGAGTTCAAAAATATTTTTTATATGCTCCAATAAGCAGGGAATACATTTCCTTCGTTTTCTTTAATTATCCCGTCATCCTGTTTTGATTAACTTATTACCCGTAAAGGGCATTAGACCCAAAGGGCTATTAGTCTCAAAACGGCATTTTGCGTCGTTTCACTTTCTGCGTTAGTTTACGTTTTAAACTGCTGCCACCAAATATTATCGCCATATATTAAAGAAACTAAATAACGAAGCATCTGCATGAATGCATGAATATTTCTCGCGCTGTGAAAAAACAACGGTACATAGAGCTATTAAATTTTGAATAACGTAGTCCTCCAACCGAACACGGGCACTTGGAAGCCCGAATTTTGAATTCCGAATTTGTTTTATTATCCATTAAAATTTTGTAAAATTTTAACTAATTAATTAAATAATTAAATTAATTAATTTTAAATTTAATTTGTAAAATTAAACGGATTTTTGATTAACAAACTCAACGATTTCAAAGCGAGCAATGGCAACACTGTACGGGGTAAAAAATTATCTCCAGCTGGCGAGACTATGTATCGGAAATTCTAAAGATATGCTTTTTTTCTCTTTTTAAATATTTTGGGAGTATTGCTGTTGAACTGAATTTTATGTGATTTAAGTCCAAAGAACATGACGTTTAATAAATAAAGATAACATGCTAAACGTACAAAAAAAAAAAAAAAAAAAAAAAAAAAAAAACGCTCCTTTGGACGTAATTATAAAATTTAAAAGCGTTCAAATTGTCCTTTTTTTTTTTTTTTTTTTTTTTTTTGATGATTTCAAAACATTTTTATCAAGAAGGATATTTTTAATCTAAAATCGTTACGAAACCACTTTTAGGCACAATCTTTGATTATCTCTTGCACGCATACAAGGAAAATGAAATTAAAAGTGAAACTTACACGTGTTTTCCAATTTCAGAATACTGAAAATATTTCCTAATTCATATTTTCCTTAGTTACGGATAAATATAATGCATATGTAAAATAGAACAAAATGGACATTTATTTTTACTGCATTACATAGATAAAAATACTTTGAAAATAAAAAAATTATGGCAATCTTGCATAGAACCAATCAAGTGAACATATTTCGCAAACGCATTTGTTCGGTTTGTGTCTCTGTGGCACAATATATAATTCTCAAGTATTTCAAAATTTTTCATTACATTATTGTGCGATAAAATTGAAACCAAATAATTCACGAACAATGACTAAGTGTTCACAGAATAATGTTGTGTTTAAAACTAAACATTCAGAACTACAATTCAATTTTTTGGTTAGGCTATCTGAATACCGTAAAGCCACAACGGCTACTGGCCTAAGAGCCTTTATGGAGGACTTTCTGAGGGAAACTGGTTTGCATTCACGTTGCACACGGAGAAACCACAAACACCAACCATACCGCAGAACATATACTACAGTGTAAGTGTCTGTATTATATGTTCATCCTGCAATATCCATGCCTCAAACGTGTCATGTTTAGGTATCATCTGTCTACACTCAGCAAATACCATTCCTTTGCATTTCTCAGCATCTAATCCTTGTTTTTGCATTATATGCGTTTGAACATCTGTAAATGAACTCCCGATGCGGTGCTCTTGGAGAATAAGGAGCTGCTTGTTTTAGAAAGTTGTGGACTCAGGACAATGTCTGTATAATAGCCTATGTAAGCCGCCCAAGGGCCCGAACCCGCTTTCACCTGTCACCTGTATAACTAATTAATACTCCAATTGAATAACCGTAATTGGTTCTTACATGTAACTTTAATCGTAATGTCTTCCAGCGATTTCGAGAAATGGAAGCCACTAGAGATTCCTCAACGGTTGGGGGAAAACTCTAAAACCCTATCACATTATGTTTCCGCTACGCGGACTGGACGTCGAAAGGGACAATTCTCAGAACCCGCACATTTTCAGGAAACCCACGTAGCTAGGTTACCATTTTCAATTACTACAAAGACTTGATCGCCAAACAGTAATCAATTATCGCTCAGATTGGGATTGCGTGATCTTACAGAAGCAGAACTTTCGTTTGATTGGTTGTTCTCTACTCGGGACAGAGCTGAAGCCGAAACATTTTCGGCGACGTTTCAAAAAATCCCGCGTACATCATTTCTTCATAAGTGGGACTTCGCTTCCAGCGGAGCTCTTTTTTCTAGGAATGCTCTCGTTTAAACCAGTGCTACCAGAATATCGCTTCTTAGAAAATTCCCATCTAGCTGGAACCATCGATAGATGTGATAAGGGTCTCAAAAGACCGCAGACAGCATCAGTTCACAGTTTTTTAGTTCAGAGTCGATTTCGGAGTAATGAGAGATCTCCATGCGAGCTTCGCTCTGTAGATGCATTTTGCTTTGCGTTGTGTCTAACGTTCTTAGTAGTTTGGAGTGGTAATTACAACCTGTGCTCAGTTATACTGAGAAGAGCTGTACGATTACTTTCTATTGCACGCATTTGTGGAAAGTTCCAACACCTTAGAGTATTTCTTTTGAAAAAAAAAATAATTTTATAAAGCTATCATCGGTTCTGTGTGCATTTAATCCATTACGAACCCGTACACGCACAACGTTATTATATTTAGGTGCGAACCTTTTAAGTGCTTTCTCTGCGTTTCCATGAGGCCTATGTTCAAATTTTTCAGATCTTTTGGGTTTCGCGATTCCACTCGTGTCGTATCCGATCTTCAATGAGATATTTTTATTACAATTTGAGTCTGCCAGTCTGAGACCTTATCCCCCTCCCCTCCCGAAAAAAAAGGAGAGGAAATTTCTCACAGTTTTACAATTTTTATCCCAGAACACGAGACGAACGCGATTACCTTTTCGGAATATGAAAGCTTATTCACACGAATTAACGTGAATCACTAGTCAACAAATAAACAAATTCACAGTGCTACCGTAGAGATATTAGGATTTCTTTTTTGGGAAGAAAGGGACATGAAAAATGTGCAATGCCCTCGCCGGAACGCGAACCACGAACCTCTCGAATAAGCGACGAGCGGGCTGACCACTACACCCGAAGGCATGCTAAGAAGGCGGGAGAAATACCTTATATACTTTCCCTTTTAAAGGGCGAGTGGGGATTAGAAAGACCCAAACGCCAAATTCTGGCAGTCGAGAATCATCCTCCACCACCTTTTTTAGTTAGGGCGCGCAGGAGACATGAAAAATGTGCAATGCACTCGCCGGGACTCGAACCACGGACCTCTAGAATACGAGCCGAGCGTGCTGACCACTACACCACGAAGGGATGCTAAGAAGGCGGTAGAAATTAGGCACACAAGCTGGCAAGGAAAAAAGAAAGAAATACGGCCTCTCTTTTAGAACAACGGACTTTTAATGGAATCATAAAATAATCAAATCTTAAAATTACTTGGCACGAGTTTTACAAACTGCATGAATTAATGGCATAGCACGCATGCTTGGATGATTGACACTTGCTTCGCCGACGCTCAGCATTTTAGCATCCCGTAGTCAAAACCATGATTCATTTCAATAAGCATTCCAAAGCACGTCTCTGAAAAAAAGACGGGAGGTTCTTGAGGTCGCAACGTTTTCTAAGAATATAGGCTCCACATACAAGTAACGTAGTTTACACACTTTTGGACCAAAACCATTTATAAGCTACCATAAATACTGCAAACAATCTCTGCAAGCAAAGATTAAAATATATATTTCCTCATTTAGAAAATATAAAATAAATGCCTTTTTCTAATTGCTTTTCAATAATCAATCTGCAATATATTACTTCTAATGTATTATGTGCTAGCTAAGATGGAAATATACAAATACTATAAAATTAAATACAATAAAACATCTAATGCAGTTAAATACTTCGTCGTGTAGGCTTTCAAACAGAAGATGGTACAAGTTTGTTCTGGCATGGCTTCACTTATATTTTCACTACAACATTAATCTATATTACTCGAGAAGAGGAAGATGAAATTCTTCACGCTTTTATGAGCAAAAAAGATCAAATATTCTCACCTGCAATAGAAAAAAAAAGTATATTAATAAAAACGTTAGAGAAATGTAAATTTAATTTTAAAAAAATCTTTTCTTTGCATAAATAAGTGTACAAAATAGCTGTCATTACTAGGAATGAAATAGTGAGAAACATGTTTCAAATTTAAAAACAATATTTTGTAAAAAAAGGAGGAAAAAATTGCATCATTAAAAATGTAGTTTTCTGTATGTTATTGACCTAAATATTTCATAACACATAAAAATTATTTTTGTTTTTAACCACAATTTAGGATCGAATAAGCTTTTCTCATTTATAACTGTTACTCACAACAACATACTTGATGAGTTAATTCTACTATGCAAATTAAAATCCGATGTGCCATTTTTTTAAAGCACCCTGCGCATATATATTAATTACAATGTTGCATTAGTTGCGTCAGTTGCTGAAATAAAGGTTCATTTTCGTCAATGGTTAATTTAAACCATGAATGAACCATTAATTTAAACCATAAATAAAATTTTAACTTAAAACCTCATCAATCTGACACGATCTCATCATTCATTATTGTGTAAAAGTTGCACTGATGAAAATTATTATGATACTCCACAAAGAACAACGGACTTTTAATGGAATCATAAAATAATCAAATCTTAAAATTACTTGGCACGAGTTTTACAAACTGCATGAATTAATGGCATAGCACGCATGCTTGGATGATTGACACTTGCTTCGCCGACGCTCAGCATTTTAGCATCCCGTAGTCAAAACCATGATTCATTTCAATAAGCATTCCAAAGCACGTCTCTGAAAAAAAGACGGGAGGTTTTCCTTTCGGAAACCGTGGATTCCCATAACCAAAGGTCAAAATGTCGGAGGTCGATGAATGACATTCCCCAGCTGACTTCAGGTCCCCCAACTCCCCTAAATATGTTATTTTTTGCACCCCAGCCACATTTATCTCTTCCCCCTGAGGATATAAATAAAGGTTTTTCATGCATCCCCGTTATCGAATAAGGGGTGGGTGTTTCCCAGATTAATTCTGGCAGACAGAAAAAAAAAAACGCAAAAAGAACACACCCTCCTTTTTCTAAGAAATTGCGTAATGGAATTCGAGAATATCAACAAAAACCAAAACACAGACCACAACTTCCCATCTGGCGTGGGCAAAAGAAAACGTAAACAGAAAAGCTAGTCAAATAATTGAGAAATAACCTTTTAACAATTGCTAGCATTTTGGCTTTAACAAAATAATGATTTAGGTAGACTTTTTTTAAATAAATAATAAATTAATATTATTTCCAGATATATGGGTAATACCAGAAGTTATCCCGACTATGCCTGAATCGATAGACATCCCGAAGATCTTAATTTTGATGTTACAAACTACTACAGATTAGTTTTTTGGAACTTTAATTTTTTACCAGAGCATTGGCAAATGTTGCCATTCCGTGAAAAATAATATCTTTTATTTACTAATCGCAAGGCCTAGTGAACTGCTACCTTTCAGTGATACTATTATTCCAAAATATGCCACTTTTAAACTAACAAATTTCAAAGAAATAGCATTTATAGCGTTTTATTTTTTATGAAATCTCTAACTCTTGTAATTTACAACAAACCTTTTATTTATCTAATTTTTATAAGCATTTGAACCATTATTTTAATTTAAATACGTTTGCTGATGGCATATATTATGTACTTTTAGTGCAGAATAATCATTTCCGTGTAGCCTAGCAACGAATCCCCTCAATCTTTTCCCCTTATGCCGTTAACAACATTTTTCTCTTAGAAGTCATTTCAGAATAATAATCTGAAGGATATATTTTGTACGTATGTCTCCATTTTAAAAGCAATACATTGCACAGTTCCGAATTTGAAGCTATGGACTATTAAAAACAACCTAAATGAATCCCTATCGGTAGATATGTGTATATGTAGGTATATGCTATTTGTTATCACGAAACAGTAAAGAGCTATTTGTCGTAATGCCTTGTGAAGGACTTTCGTAAGATAACCGCCTTCTATTTATGTTACATGCGAAAAGATATATTTCTCCAATCCGCAAACGAGAATGGAAGTCAGGCGAACTATCAGATACCCTTACTCAGAATCTACTCGCTGTTTATTTTATCTATTATGCCAAAGCACTAGAGAGCTATGTTCCGTATGGAGAGGGATGCTTTCCCGGATTAGTTAAGAGAAACTAACTCTGTTCTTGCTATACGTGAGGAAAACCACGAAAACACTCATGCAGTTAGCTCGTTCGCTCGTATTTGAAACCGATTCGAACTTCCCAATGCTTAGAATAGGCTTATGTGTCCACTAGCGGGTGATAGTTCGACCTAAGTTCATATCCTAGCGAATAAGATGGCTGCATGGGATTTTTCTTATGTATAACGTGACTATGAATCAGTTTTCTATAACAACAATGAGAAATCGATAACTGGATTCAGCAGATTATGATCTTTACGACAAGGCCTATTTTTCAAAATTAACAACTACCGAATTCTAATGATTTATAAAAAAACTTGCTTTTAAAACGGAGAAATTATCAAAGTCTACGTGAGTTACAGTTCTGAAAATTTGCAGTTTGAGGGTGGCTAGAAGCAGAGTATGTAATAAATTTTAAGACTTTTAGAGAAACATACAGGACAAATTCTTAACTGCTAACGAACGAAGTTCGTTTAGCAAGCGACCTACACACAGATATCCAAAAAACGTAGACATGAAAACAATGGTCCAACAGAAAGAATACCTCCTTTTTGGACATCTTTTACTCTTGGGTGGGTACGGTTTCTATGAAAGTGTCTCGAAGCTCTCTGGCGTGTCCAAGTAAATCATAAATCCATGCACATGGCAGGACAATATGCGCCAAGGAATTATAACGAAAGAAAAATGTCAATTTCTAGGAAGTGATTCAGGTATAGAAGAAGTAGTGAGAGACACGAACGATGCATACAGGAGATGAGCTATAATACTTCACACACTACAAGTAGCTGGAAAAATAAGAAAAGTTTAAAATCCATGAAGAATGCGAATAATGCTAGTGCAAATGAAATGAGTAATGCAAGCTTTCAACCGTGTAAATTATAAAGCAAGTATATAACCTGCTCTTATTTAAATGGAATAACTGGTTCAACGAAAGAAAGTGTACGCAAAATTAAAAAAAACTCATCTCAGAGTAGGAACCGAATGGTACTGCAAATTCAGAAAATAAGTTCTACACCTCCATAAACTCATTTCCAATGTTTGGACGTTTTCTTTGCTTCTTAACGGAAAGAGCTACAAAAGCTGCCGAATATTCTGCATTTCCTTTCTGAAGAGCCGAAGAACTTCACTTAGCAGTGACTGCTATAATGAATTTCTTTTAACGGTTATAGTGAAGTGGAGCTTTGTTCCATGATTGTATATTATTCTGCAAGCCAGGTGCTTTACAACGGCGCTAACGCTAATTTGTGCGTTTCAACTGCAATTTAATACTACAGGGACAGGGACAGGGAAAAGTGGACGGAGCACCAGAACTTCGTCAGTGACTTTTACAGGTGTTGCTCCGCCGCACTACTGTACCCCGCTGGGCTTTTAGTTGGCCCGCATCGGATGCTAGCCTACCAAGACATTTACATAGTAATTTTACATTAATATTAGACTTACGTATTGAATATACAATTACAAAGACATAGTATACAATTATTGCAAAGAAATTAACCTATTAACAAAAGTTGGATTATGGCAGATTGAAATAACATAATTACTTCGAACATACATACAAATTTTCATTGTACATTGTACTTCATACAAACAATATATTTACATTAGTATATCTAGTTACATCGAATTAAAATAAACATCATTTTAAGGAACTAATTGAAGGATTTTTTTTTTTTTTTTTTTTTTTTTTTTTTGTGCACTTTATCATACTTAGTTGAATTACTAAGGCGAATTCTCTTATTAATACATTTCCTTTCATTTTTTTTAACTTGTTACACACAAATGCATCAGCACTGAAATCTTACATTATTATTTTTGTAAATTAATGTATCATAAATACAGAAAATATACATTAGAAAATCACATAATACTTACATTTACACTAATATATCTAATAGAGTCATATATTATTTATATTATTTTTTAATTAATGATTTAATTATTACATTAATACAGTCCAAATTCTTAATGTAACTATTTTATAAAAACTATTTATACCATATTTAGCCTGTTTCAGACACTTGCAATATTTCTGAAATCTTGCATTATTTTTGTAAGTTGTAGAATAAGAGGTATTTATACAGATGTGATAGCATCTTGACATATGTCTTCTCTTTTATATGCAAAAAGTTTCTTCATAATCAAGGAAACCTTTTGTTGTAATTGAGGTATCGTTAGCATGCATTTAATGTACTCAGGCGTAATTTGTGACCTTCCTTTGCAGTGTAGCTCTTTTTGTGAGCTGGCACTTGAAAACATAGTGTTCTGGGTCTCCCTTTTCCCCACATACGCACTTGTCTGAATCGCTCAAATTTCGTGCAAAGTAGTACGTGGGGAAAGGACCATGTCCAGATAAGAATATGTTGATGAAGAAGTTATAAGAGATTGGATCATATGTGGGTTTCTTGTAGAAGTTGAAAAAGCCTTCTACCTACTTCTGCATTTTCCCATTCAGTTTGCCATTTTTTTAATGTAATTTTTTTCAACATATGTTTTCACATACGATTTAGGGAATGGGACATTGATTGGAGGTAGAGATGGGTCTTGAGCTGCATTTTTAGCAAGCGCATCTGCCCTTTCATTTTGGGCTTGTCCAGCATGCGCTTTTACCCACTTTATTTTTATAGATGTTCTCTTTGCGCTGTGATAATAAATCGTAGATATCTTGCACTATTGATGATTTGTTTCTTGCATCATCGACAGCTTTAATTGCCGCTTGGCTATCACTGTAGATGGTAACATATGTTAGATGCTTTTGATGAGACCATAGAATAGCGTGTTTTTATGGCTGAAAGCTCAGCTTGGAAAACGC